CTACGCCATGGTAAGGGATGGGAGGGAGGAGTAGGACGTCAGATGTTGCGCTAGCGCAGCTAGCTTGCCCCCCACCCTCGCCCCCACAACGCCCGTTCTGGCCGCGAATGCACAAAAATGCGCTTATATGTGGCCGCAAAGATTTGAGTCTCACTCCGCATGGACTCGTGCACGCCGAGGCCCACACTGGGGCTCTCTTCGGGTGAGCTGGGTGGTTGGGGCTGGCATCCCCGTCATCCAGCGTCAGCGGTGTGGTGCGACCGCGGAAGGCGCGTCGGGCTGCCCGATCGCAGTGAGCCAGCAGAAACGTGCAGCGGGAGTCGCAAGCATTTGAGAGGTGATCGTCTTGGGACGCCTCAGAAACCCTACGCGTGGAGGACGATGGGGGAGCGGGGTCAGGATCTGATTAGGTCGGGGACGAAACGAAGGGATATTCATCATGCTTTTGTGCCTGCATCGAGTGCAGTTTGCAATCTGGCGGCTGAGTACGTAAATGCTTGAGGGCGGCGAGGATGCAGCAGACAATAATGAGGAGGGTGAGGATGTGGAGGATGAGGATGAGGATGGAGCAGACAATGATGAGGATGAGGGTGAGGAACCTGAAGCGGAGGACGAATACGATGGGGATGGGACGAGGACGTTCCGGTCATCGTAGCTGCCCTTCTCACCTCGGACCGCCACGCCGTGCCTTCTGGGGGAGGCACTGGCCGCGACCCCTTTGCGGCGCTGGACCACGAGGTGCCGCGCCGCGGTCAGTTTGGCCGTCGGCGGTGCATGCCCTTCTCCATCCCCCCTCCTCTTGGCTCCTCCCCCCTCCTCCCCTCCCACCTCCCTGTTCTCTCCAATGTAGTCGGCTCTACCCCTACTCTGCCCCCGCTCTTACTCCACCCTATCCAACTCGTAGAAGCCGATTGGGACTGTCTCCACTATCCTATCAGACTCGTAGAAGCCGATTGGGATTGTGGCAGGAGTCCATGGGAATGATGTTATCTGGGATGACCACAGGAATATGTTGGTGTACGCGCCCAGTGTATAGTCCGTGCTAATGCACTGGGACACGCACGGGAGCCGATTCGAGTACCCATAGGAATCACATGGAAGAAACATCCACAGGGTTCCATTGGAATATTCATGTGGGTCCGTCGGTCTTCCCGTAGGAACCCACTGAAATACCCATCCGATCCAATGAATCACCCACGGGAGTCTGTGGGGACACCATTAGGAATCAAGTGGGTAACATACCTCGTGCACGGGCACATTTGGTGCCATGAGAGGCGGCACGCTATCTCGTTTCTTGCAGCCGGAGTAAGAAGTCCAAGCGCGGTCATGTGAATGTGCGGTATGGACTCGGGTGTTTCAAATCAGTCAGTCGGCCTTACGTCTGCGATTCATGCTAAATCTAACCTGGACGATCGTCTATGTAGGTTTGAAGGTTTTCGCGTCCATGAGTCCATGACTGATCAGTTCTCGGTGTGCTGGCAAGAGGATGAACAGCTAACGCCCCAGGGCGGGACACGCGTGAAAACACATGGGTTCCTAACACCCCACAGCGGGACGGCGTATGCCCTTCCCCCGTCGGTGCGTCCACTGGCTCGTTCTGTATCGCGTTCCTTGGCTGGTCCCCTGGCGCTTTCCCCGTCCGTTCCGTGGCGCGTCCATGCCACGTCCCCTAACACGTCCCTTGGCGCCTAACGCGCCTTCTTGGCACATTCCATGGCGCGTCCATGCGCCCTGCGCCCCGTGCCGCCTCGTCCCGCTTCGGAAGTGAGTCGAATCTTGAGTTCGAGCTGATTGAGAGTCCCACACGTTTCGACTGCAAGTAGCTCTGGGCCAGCTATGCGCTCAGGCAGCTCGAGCTTAAGATACATGTCAGTCTGGTCAAGATTCGGATGCCCAAGGGTGGCAAAGTCCACAACACTATAGAGCACAACTTAATTCGTCGTGGTGTAACACATCTCATTTCCGCACGGCACAGCACAGCACAGCCGTTAGCACGGTACATCACGATCGATATGTTCAGCATTGCAATTGCTTGCTGCTCACTCTCATGGCACATTGCCCAGGACAGCAGTGGCAGTGACAGAGAGGGAGAGAGAGAGAGAGAGAGACAGGAGGCTGGGAGCGAAACGCAGGTGAAGGGGGCTTGACCATGGCAGCATCCACGCCAAAAAACAGCATGGACGAGGAAGAGGCCCCACACGTCCTTTCTGCCCCTCACTGCAGCAGAAGGCGCGCGGGCGTCACGGCGGAGTCCTGCCCGCGACCCCGCGCGCGCCTGCCGTGCGGCCGACGGGACAGCACGCTCCGATGACGGCCCCCCCCCGCGCCGCCCCTCGCCACCGCCATGGGGTCGGTGACCCAGGCCACCCCCGGGGCGCCGCCCGACGGGAGCGGGAGCGTGGCATGCGATGGGTGCTTGTGCCCTCGAGTCGTGCCCCGCTTGATCGGCTTGCGAGAGGGCTCCCGCCAAAGTCGGGAATGTCGTTCCCTCGTGAGTGATGTGTTTGATGCGGCCGAGCCAGCACTCGGGATCCGCGCTTTCGCCATAGCGCCATAGCGTCCGCACCCCTGGGCCTGCAGGGCTCACGGGCGGGCCGCGTCAGCGGATGGAGCCCACCGCTACAGGTGAGTACGGCGTGGGTACCTTCGCGGCCCCGGAGGCCGCCGACGGGCGCCCCCCCGGTCAGAGGCCAAGATCGGCCACGCGCGGAGAGGGCAGGGGGAGGGGGGAAGGCTTCTTAGAAACACCCCTGTTTCTTAGAAGGCGGGGGTGTGCTCTGTAGATGCAAGGCCGGCGCCTTCTAAACGGCAGCCTCCTTCTGAGAAGCCGCCCCCCCTCCACCTACCCCATTGTGCGCGCCGCCAGCAACAAGCGTCTCAGCCGCATGCGCGCTGACCTGTCATTTATGCATCACAATGCAATGTCTAAGTCCTTGCAGTTCGTCAAGATTGAAGGCCCCCCTGGAGTGGGGACCCGTTGCCAGGACATTAGGGGCGCTCGCGCGCTTGTGAATGACGTTGGCACGCCATGCGGCAATCTCCACCAGAAGATGCAGGTCGGGAGCCATGAGGCCGAGGTGCGATGGAGTTCGGGAGGCCATGGCACGTGATATTCTAAGGCGACGAGATCGGTGCGGCCAGCGCCTTGGCGCACGTCCAGTACAGAAAGGGGCGGGGGGTGCACTGGACGATCGCGGTGTTCGGCCCGCAGGCGATGGCTTGCGAGGACCCTCGCGCTCGCTGTGCGTTGTTGCAGCAGCGACGTAGTTTCATGTGTTGCGGGCGCGTGGGTTCGCATGCGACGGCGCTGCAGCGCCAGCGGCAGCGTGCGCGATAATCGCGCCCGCCTGTCCGCAGGAGGCGTGGTTCCAGCTCGAGACGATGAGGAGCAAGAGCGCGAACGATGTCGAACCGCATGGGCTACCCATGCTGATGTATGCAATCCTCGACCAGTTTTGGCCCGAGCACGGTCACAACTTCAGCCCGGGCACCTTACTCGTATGGCGCTCTCAAGCCCGTGCCTTTTCAGTACGCGTGTCAACGTTTCGCCCCTGCTGGGGCTCGTCAGGACTCGAATGAAAATGGCAGCGGCATGCGAACACAGCAAGTGCATGATCGACACAATACTGCGTGCAATGCGATACGGCAAACAAAAACACATGCATGCATGCGGCGATCTCTCAACAACACCCCTGTATTGGATGACTGCAGCTGCGTCCCAACACCAATGGGGGGATTGTATAGACATGCGGCCGCTGCAGCGGATGCCCCGCCGCCCCGCGCACGGCGGTCGGGCGGGCGGGGGGGGGGTGGATACGTGGATCGCAGCACGCTGTTGCGCGTGACGCGTCGCCGTAGGATCGCAGAAGAAGGCGCGATTCACCGCGCGATCGAGTGCAAGGGGCCGTCGGGAATCGAGCCTTGCTTGGCGTGACGCAGCGTGTTCCTGAAGGACGGGGCGAGGGGCATAGTGGCATCTGATAGGACGGGCGTCGCGGTTCACCACCCGGAGCCGAATGCATCGAATATGCAGCGTGTGACGATGCGTCTGCTCGAGGCAAGATGCCACCGACTGCGCGATGGAGCCGACATCATGAACCAGGGTGGCTTCAAGGAGTTAGAGAAACACATTGGTTGGACGTGGGACTCCGATTTGTCAGAGGATTCGCAAGCTCAGGCCGCTCGCGGCAGTGCTGTTCAAAAGGATGCGTTGCATGTTCGCGAACGGCACGTATAACGAATTAGTGTTCCGGATGTTCATGCCGTTGAAGAAAAAAAAGCACGGTGTTACGGGGGAGCGCGACGATGAACGCCTCTTGGAATGGACGTTTCCTGGGCGCGCACCGCGCGCACCCGACGCGCGCGCGATCTTCGGAAAGAAGCTCGCGAAGTCACACTGCGAGGGGAACAAATCATTGCGCCAATGCAGGGTTGTTCCAGTAATGCTTTGCACATCCGCGTGTCTGGGCACGGGGCGGCAGTGGTGTAGGAAAAGGGTGCGCTGCAGCGCTTTGGGCGCGGTCATGTGCCTGCGCGTGCGGGTTGGCGTGTAGTGATGTTGGCCACGGCGTTGCAGCGCCCGCGGTGCGGTCGGCCCGCGCAGCGTTCGAAGCGCACGCGATCTTCGTGGAAGAGATCCAGAGGGCAGCCAGGCGACAGGCAAACGCGGACAAGATGCGCAGTGTCTCCCATACTTTTTGCTTTCCTATCACGCGATCTTTGGCCCTGCCAGTACGACCCGCAAGCTCCACTACCTGCACCACTTCCCAGACTACGTGAAACGCCCGGGGCATGTGGCTCGGCCGTCTCGCTGGACGCTGGAGCGCAAGCACAAACGCAGCAAGCGCTTTTCCAGTGCACTGCAGGTCGGGGCTGCGACCTCGGAAGGCTGGGGCGCTAATATCCTGAAGAGCGTTGCCGAGAAGCACACGTTGCAACCCAGCCATGGCAATGTCTTTGAGACCGACTTCTAGGTTAACCAGTCCAAGGTTGTCAACGCAATGGCGTCCGAGCGCACGAAGCATTCCGGTGCAGCAGAGTTTGTTATCTCAGCTGTAGCGCGGTGCCGATTCCACGTCGTGAAGCACGACAGACGCGTTGCTCTGGAGAAGGGGCGGGGTGAGCACATGGTTGTCGAGGTGTTGAAGCACATTTGCTTCACTCGAGATGACCGTTGCTACGGCGCTGGCCTCCTGCAGCCTCATTTTCCACGCGGCCGCCAGCACGCCAGGTGCTCAATGCACGTGAAAAGTGGTTCCGAGGATTGAGGGTGCACGCCTCGTCCATCGTGTGCTCGCTCACGCGGGCGGCGCGCGAGGGAGGCGATACTCGCGCGTTGCGCCCTACATGTGCCGAGCCGCGCTGGTTCGCGCTCGCGGACTGAAACGTATAGCTCCCCCTTTTCAGCTGGGCAGTCGCGCGTGTCTCCGGGCGCTGCATTGCCAGTGTGTCTTGCCGTTTCTCTGGCGTTGCAGCGCCATTTCGTTTTGACGCCGCCGTGATCCCTTCGCATTCGCCAAGTCCTCCTCCTCTTTATCCCTCCTCCCCTCCCCTCCCCCTTCTCCTCCTCACGATCGGCATTCCCATCAGCATTTTCATCATCATCATCATCGCCATCAGCATTTTCATCATCATCATCATCACCATCCCCATCGTCGCCGCCATCATCATCATCCTCTTAACCATATGGCTCCATCATCACCACCACCCCCTTTATCAGCATGCTGATCATCATCATCATCATCGTCATCATCATCATCATCATCATCCGCGTCATGATCACCATCATCCAGGAGTGGCATGGCCACGGGGTTGGGGTTTGGGGGGGGTCCGACGGGGGGCATTCCCGTCGGACGTACCATGCTACCACGGAGGCGTGCATGGGCATCCGCCGAGGGTCGGCTCCGTTCGCGTTTGAACCCAGACGGGCGCGCGGCGACGCTGCAGCGCGTCGTCATCACCGCCATCATCGTCGTCGTCATCACCATATTCGTCATGCGGGGGGCCGGCGCGCGCAGCGCGCGCGGGGCGGCGGAACGCGGAGAGGAGGAGAAGGAACATGCAATTCGGGGAGGCCCCGGAGCAGGAGAGAGAGAGGAGCAGGTTAGAGTAGTGAGTTCACTTGTGAATCACGTGCCAAAAGCTTACACAAAGCAGTGGGCGCACCACCGCTCAGTATTTAGTAAGTGGGTCGTAAGTCCGTTTGCCCGCTTAGGTAGGTGATATGTAAGTGGGTTATATCATACATGTACAACCTTTTTGGTTACATATCGAGTAGGAGTGGCTACTACGTGTTTAATACGCCCGCTAAGCAGTTAGCTAAGTTGGCATTCGTAACTCAGCTAATCAGTTCCTAGAGCGACCCACCCATACAGCCAACCACTGATAGAGGTTACCAAAGTTACTAACCAGCGAGATCTGGTTAGTATCTTGGCTAACAAGTGAGTAAATGGTATAGCAGTTATAACCTTTTTAAACTTCAATTTTACCGATTTACAACCTACCTATTTACAACCCCACAGTTGTTTTAGCAAGTTCGCTCACCACTTGGTAACCGAATCGGCCAGCCAAGCACCCCCCCGGTGAATATTGGAGCCTGGGCTGGCCGGCGAAGACCCCGAAAATTATGGAACGCAACCTGGGTTCGTTTTTTTTCCTCCCCCCGAGGTTTCCCTCCCGGACAACCAACCGAAAAAAAAAAAAAACAAAAAAAAAACGAAAAACACAAGTAAAACCGCCCAATGGGGGGGGTCCCAAGGGGATGAGCCCGAATTGCGATTTGCAGGGTTTTGCCCGATCGCATCTGGGACACCCCGGGGGGGAATCTCTATATATATATATATATATATATACAAGTGGCACGTGTGTGCCCAGGCTCATACAAAAAACTGAAGGGCAGCAGGAGTGAAATGCAACATCGAAGTCGCACTCGAGCGCAAGTGGGGTTGCCACACCTTGCGATGTGTGTACCAGGGCCCCCAGAAAGCCTTAGGAGGCCCGACTTGGATACCAAAAGAGGCTCCAAGAGGCCCCAGGATTGTGAGTGTTGTGCGTGTGTGTGTGTGTGTGTGTGTGTGTGTGTGTGTGTGTGTGTGTGTGTGTGTGTGTGTGTGTGTGTGTGTGTGTGTGTGTGTGTTTGTGATGTATGCTTCGTGTGGTGCGTGCTTTTTGTGTGTTGTAGATGTGTGTGTGTGTGTGTGTTATGTTTGTCTAGCGTGTGATGTGTTGGGCGTGATTTGTGTCTCTGTGTGCATGTAGTTCTGAAGCCCCAGGAGGCCCCAGGAGGCCCCAGGCGGCCTCAGGAGGCCCCAGGAGGCCCCAGGCGGCTTCAGGAGGCCCCAAGAGAGGAGGCCGGAGGAGGCCCCAGGAGGTTTCAGGACACCCCCAAGAGGCTCCGAGGCGGGATCTGGGGTGCCAGAAGGTTCAGAAGGCCCAGGAGGCCCCAGGAGGCCCCAGGAGGCCCCCAAGAGGCTCCGAGGCGGGGTCTGGGGCTCGATTTTGGAAGGATTTTTCAAGCGAAACCGCCATTCACTGAGACTCGGGGTCACAATTATTGAAAGTACCATGTGTTTTTGAAGGTTTTATGTTAAAATGTTGAATTTCCCATGTGTTTTTGAACCCTCACGTCGCGATCTGCGTGAGGGGTGCCACCGATTTTCAGAATTTCGAGGATGTCCCGAGCGAAACGCCCAGAAAAATCGCGAACGCGTGCGCATTAATCGCCTCTGAGCTCTACTCCCTCGGAGAGGTGCGTATGAGAATATATATATATATATATATATATCGATAGATACACACATACATCCCAATGATACTGTTTTACAATGTCGGGCCCCAGATTTCCTCCGAAAAACTTCTAAGCCCCCCGCCCCTCTGGGATCCGCGCTGGGAAGCCACAGGAAAAACCCAATGGTTTTTTCTGTGGGTTCCTCAAGGAATCTAGGGAACTCCCACGCCGGTCTCCTTCATTGACGTGCCCTCGCTTCGCCCCAAGACGTATGTGTGCGACCGGAGGGAAGCTTGAGAGGCGAGGGTGACGTCACAGGAGGGGACGGTTTGCTAGGGTTCGGGTAGGCCGCGCCAGATTCATCCTCCTCCCAAGCTTCCCCTCCACTACTGTCCGTCCCCCCCCCCTCCTCGGATTCCCCCCGTATTCGCCCCCCTGCCCCCCTCCCCTCCTTCCCCGCCTCCCCTCACCAACTCTGTCTCTCTCTCTCTCTCTCTATCCCGCCCTTTCGCTCGGCAACGCGCCAGGTGCGTGACCGCGTTGGGGAGGCCACCCTGCGGTGCTTTGCGAGCGGGCCGGTGGGTCGCGGATAGGAGCAAATCTGATGAGGATCCTCGTGATGGCGGGGGCGGGAAAAGGATGGAGGAAGAGGAGGACGGCGCAATTGGATCAAGAAGGAATAGGAAGAGGGTGGGGTGGATAACATGGAGGATCACACATGAGTGGAAGCATGTGGACGCGAAGGCCTCGAGAGGGATGACGAAGAGGTGGGGGGAGGATCACAAGTTGTAAGTCGATGCCTGGGGGGCGGTAGTTGTATTCGTAGTTGTGATTGTGGTGGTGGCGGCGGTGGGACGGAGAAGAAAGCGAGGATGATGTGATGATGTGAATGGCGCCCAAAATTAGGGTGGAGGCAGAGGTGGTCGTCATGCTGGTCATGCTATTGTCGAGTTGTTATGTTTACTGATGCTCGAAGCAGTAATTGCGATAGCACGTGACCAAGTTCGCTTGCGCGGGATTTAAATGAGCATGTCCAGTGTTTCAATTTCTGTCTTGCCAGCTGTCCTGAATGTATGCGCGTTCGTTTTGATGCACCAGAGTTTGGCGGCCCCTCAGGTCTGGGGCGCGAGCAACGCGGGCTGCCTGCGCGCACCCCTCTGTGTACGGTCACGCTCCATTCCCGTCAAAGCATTCGTTGCCTGCAGCGCGCCGTGTACACCGGGAGCCAGGCCTGGAAGGCAAGCGCTACGGGGGATACTCGAAGTCGTAGACGAAAAATTCGCTCACGAGTGCGGTATCGTGAAAGCCGATGACCTCAGCAGCCGGCGGACGCCGGTCGCGGTGGATCGCACGACGGACGGTGAAGACGGACGTTCTTCCTCAGGGGCAACACTATCGGGGGAAGGCTCGGGGGGGGACGCATCGACCCCCAAACGCTCTCACTCATGCCCGATAGGGGCCTGATAGCCCACCCCACCCAGGAACCTCTGGTTTCGCTATCGGGGGCCTGTCGCCGATCTATCGGCGACCAGTCGCCGATTCAAGCTCGATGTTCCCCTTCCTGAACCAACGTCTTGCAGATGTCCCTGACTAAATTGTCTTCAATGTTGTCGTTGCACTCGTTGACAGTACTTCACCATGTCAAGCGCATGTGGCTGATATTGCCACCAATCAGCGGAAAACATGTCAATAGCGTGCCGGTGAAATTTTGACGGTGTGCATTACCCCCCCCCCGAGTTGGTCCCGCCTACCGCCCCGTTATCGCTCTCCTCTTCCTATCGCCCCCCGCCTCTCTATCGCACCCCCCATCGCTCACCCCCCCGAGTTGGTCACCCCTTATCGCCCCCCCTTGAGCGGGTTCCCCTACCGCCACCCTGAGTTGGTCCCCCCTCATCTCACCGAGCGCATTCCACTACTCGCAAAGTGCCTACTCGCAAACGTCCGAAAAAACACATGTCTGCTTTGATATAATTTACCGCAGATCCCCCGCGAGGGATTCAGGCCATTTGCGAGTAGTTACTTTGCGAGTAGTGGAACGCGCTCGTCTATTACCGCCCCACCTGAGCTTGCCCCCCTATCGCCCCCCCCTGAGCTGGTCCCCCCCATCGCCCCCCCCGAGTTGAGCCCGCCGATCGCCCCCCCTAAGCTACTCTACAGGAGGAATATCTCAAGATAGTCAAAAAATCTTGGAGTATGTTTAAACTCTTGTGGCATTCTTTTGGAGCGTTTTTCACTCTTCCTCCAAAGTCTGCCTGTAGGGGAACATGCCCGACCTAACCCTGTCGCCCACCCTGAGTTGGTCCCCCTGTCGCTTGCTCCTCCTCGGCCAGGCGTGGCGGCGATTCTTCCTCGCGGAGACGTCCGCCGAGGACTTCCTGCAGGCCCACCGGCCCGGCACCGGCAGGATCCCCCCCGAGGTCCCGGGGAGACCACCGGGGCAGCCGTCGAAGGCAAGCGGGCTGCACGCGGAAGGAGAAGGAGGATGATATTGCTGCTGCTGCTGTCATGATATGGTGATGGTAATAATGATAGAGGAGGATGAGGAGCGGAGGATGAGAAGGAGGAGGAGGAGGTCGAGGGTGAGGATGATGATGTTGTTGATGATGCTAACAATGATGAGGCAGAGGAGGACGAGGATGATGGTGAGGAAGCTGATGATGATGGTGATGATGAGAGTGCGTGCGCAGTAATGATGACCTGGGGGCCGTTCTGAGACACGAGTAGGGGGAAAGGCAGCAGTGCATAGCAGCCGCGCCCGTGCCATGCTCCATAGCCTTCTGTTGCTCCCTGCGCGCCGCTGGCCAGTCGCGGGGCATCCGTGCATGTTTGGCAGGCTCGGGCTGCCCGACGCCTTGCTGGACGGCGCGTGGGAGGCTCTGCGGTCGGCGAGCGTCGCGACCTTGGTGTGGGCTGGCCAGGGCTCCCAGAGTTGCCCTGCCTGCCCCGAGTGTCCGAGCTGTACCTGCTCTCCCTCTTTGGCGTGCCCTGCCCTGCAGTGCCCCTCCTGCACGCTGGGAGGGGCCACCTGCCCCAGCTGCCCGAGCTGCCCTGAGGTCAGCTGCCCCGAGGTGGCGGTCGACCTCGGCAGGTGGTGGCTCGTCGCGGTGCTGCTCGCTGGCCTGGTGGGGTTTGCTGCGGGCTGCTGCGTGGGGGCGATGTGGGGCGCAGGGCTTCGGCGCATCGTGCATGCCCGAAGCGAGACCTATCGCTCCGGGCCGCCTGGTCCTGGTGTGGTACGGGGGCGGGGAGGCGTACTGGCACGAACGCCTCCTGCTCTGTAAAGTGGAGGGGACGACCTGGGTCATCGCAGCGCCTGATGGAGATGTCTATCCAGAGGACATTTATGAGCTCAACTGCAAGCCGTGCTGCCAGGGGTCGATCCCGCCGTCCGTCCCAGCAAACGCCTTGCTGTATAGGTTCGCGCCGCTCGGACAGTTGCACACACCAGCGGAGTGGCGTCAGATCTTCGAGGATGGGATCGCGACCGCGCAGATGGAGAGGGCCAACAGGGGTATCGACGACGGTGCTGCTGATGCAAAGTCTGGCGCTGTGCGCGACCGTGTGGTTCTACACGGGTGGACCGCGGACGCTGGACTGCCAGGCGGGCCACCCGCTGCCGTCGCTGGTGCAGGGGACGGGGCCGTGGTGCCCATGGCCGCGGGCCCGCCTGGGCTGGGAGGGCCCCCGCCGCTGCCGCCGGCGGCAGCACCGCCTGCGGGTGGGCTCGCCGCTGCAGGCGGAGGCGCCGCCGTCCCGCTGGCTGGAGTGCCCCTGGGAGCGGACGCTTTGCCAGGGGTCGCTGCGTCGGCGCGCCGCCAGTGGATCGTGGTGGCGAACGATGGGCAGCCAGGAGCGCCAGCAGTCGGAGTTGACTGGAGTGTGGACGCTAGTGCGGTCATCGTGGGCAACTTCGCGCTTGTCAAGCTCGGCACCTCGACCCTCGTCTTGGAGAGTATTGACGTCGGCAGCAAGCAGCTCAAGCTGGTGGCCAGGAAGGGCGAGCTTGAGCAGGCTGTGGCTGCGGCGTCGGGAGGCGGAGCTGGACCACAAGTTGGAGCAGCAGCCGCATCGGCTGGAGTTCAGCTCAAGGCCACGGGCGAACGGGCGCTGCCAGTGCTCTATGACGCAGTGGGCCTGCTCGAGGGGCCCGCGCTTCACGGACTTCCCGATCCAGGGCCCGAGGGCCACGTTCTGGCTCTGCAGGTTCCTTCGTGATCAGGGCCAGGTGCCGAGAACCGGGGCCGAGAAGTGGATGCGGGGCGCCCGTGTGCCTGATAACGATAGGGCCAAGCACGAGCATAGCAGCCTCATGGAGGTCCTCGAGTATGCTCTCTCACCTATGACCAATTGGATGTGTCATCGTTGGCCTCGCTTGAGATCCTGGCGCGAAGGGTTCAGTTATTGGAAGAGGCCTACACGTCGAATCCGAAGGCGCCGAGGTTCGAGGGGAGCGAGCACTGCCAGGGGCTCGGCAGGAGGGTCTTCGCAATGGCCCCGATGCTCACCTCGCACGTTGCTGGGCAGCTGCAGGGCGAGGCGCAGATCCAGAAGGAGCGACGCAAGGCCCGCGAGGAGACGGCCCTTGCGCGCAAGGGCTAGCCGCCCCGCGGCATCTGCGTTTTCGCGGCCCGCTCAGGGCCGCCAGTTAGTCGAGGTCGTCTTCGGAGACCTTGGCGCGTTCACCGCAGTCGGGGCCGTCATCGAGGACCTCGGCGAGATTTTTTTGGAGGCATGGCGGACGGTCGCCAGCGTGACCTACTGCCGCTGCCAAAGCTGGGCGAGATTGAGGTCCCACGTGGCGCTCTCAGTCGTGGAGTTCAGCAGCGTATTTGTCGTCGTGCGCACAGGCGCGTCGACGAGACAGTTTGAGCCCTCAATGAGCTTGGGGGGGGTGGCAGCACACCACTTGGTGGTCCAGGTGGAGAGCAGACGCGTGCTGCTGTTGCTATGGCCCGAGGTGCTGCGTCGGCCATGCCCTTGCCTCGAGAGCGGCCCGCTCCGCATGAAGCCCTCGCGGCGCTTCTGCGCCCAGGCGCTCGCTGCGGAGACAGCGAGTGTGCCGGGAACATTGCACCGCCTGGTTCGGCGCCAGTCTCGCTGCGGGGCCGCGACTTGTCAGAGGTGGACGTCTACCAGGTTCTGCCCTCCGACGCGTCGCGCAAGCTCAAACGGCTTCGCGACGCCATTCTTCTCAGTAGCGAGGAATAACTATGCATTGCGGATCAAGAGCGAGGGACTGCCCAACCTTTACTTTGACCCAGCGCTGGAGGCGCAGCCCGCCAAGTGGGAGGGGTTCTGTCGGGATCTACGTGACAGTGGACTGGTGCGCTGGGCCCGAACCTACAAAGGGCTGGCTTGTTTTTGTTCGCAAGAAGAGTGGTGATTTACGACTCATATGTGATGCACGTCGGAGTAACGTTCGGTTCGATATCCCTGATTCCATACAGCTTGCTACTGGCGACTCGCTCAGCCGTCTCGAGAGCAGCTCCAAGCAGGCCATCTACTCTGCCAGTTTTGACATCAAGGACCGACGCGGAGATCTCGCAGTACTTCGCGCTGCCAGCGGCTCGGGCATCGGCAGTCGGGGCGGAGAGCATCAGCGGCGTCAAGGTCGACACCCACGAGCTCATCTACCCGGCGCTGCAGTCTCTGCCCACGGGCTTTTCGTGGGACATGTTGGCGGCACAGCTGGTACACGAGGAGGTTCTGCGTCGCGCTGGCCTGCCTCCTCCTCGCCTTCTTCGCGACGGCGCCCCGCCGCCCTCGCTGGGCGGAGGGCCCGCGCGCATGGCCTACGTCGACAACTTTGGGGTCATCGGCTGGGACAAGGCCGAGGTCGAGGCTTTGCACCACTAGGCGCTTGAGGGCGTCAAGAAGGCTGGGTTTGCGAGGGCATGGCGGATCTATGCTGGGCTGCACGCACTTGTGCGGCGGGGAAGGTGCGCTGGGAGGGAGGTGCGGGCCATCCTGGGCCACCTGCGCTTCGCCTTCTTGCTGCGTCGCCCGTGTCTATCCTGCATTGCGGCCGGTAACGACTGCAAGAACCTCTGGCCCAGCGTCATGAGGGAGCTTCTCATTGCTACCGCGATCTTGCCGCTGGTCTACGCGGACGTCGCGGCAGGCTGGCATGGCCAGGTTGCGGCGACTGATGCGAGCACTACTGGTCTTGGCGTTTGCGTTGCGGAGTGGCCCGCGCATGCTATCCAGCTCGCAGGCGCCCACGACGAGCGCTGGAGGTTCAAGCAGGACCCGCAGCGCAAGCACAGGGATGTCGCCCTGGCGGGCAATGACGTCGCCGAGCCGCCGGTCGACAGGGGCGGCAACCTCGCAGCTGACAGCGACGAGGGCGCCTGGCTGGCCGTCGGGACCTTCCCAGTTGTCGAGTCCTCCGCCGTCAAGGAGGCGAAGTGGGCCGTGGTCGCCAAGCGCCCTTGTGGCAGTCACGAGGGTGCCATCCATGTCAAAGAGGCGAGGGGCGCGAAGCTCGGCGTCAAGCACGTGGTCCGATGTGGCCGCTGGCGCCACAGGAAGGTCCTCATGCTGGTCGACAACATGGGACTGGTGCTGGCGCTCCAGAAGGGTCGATGTCGCGACCCAGCTCTCCTCGGTCAGCTTCGTCAGATGGCCGCTCTGCAGCTTGCCACTGGGCTGCGGGCGCAGTTTCGCTGGGCCCCGTCCGAGGTCAATCCTGCTGATCGACCTTCGCGGCAGTGGGAGCTGGCAGTGGCTGATGCTGGGCCTGCATGGCGTCCTCCTCTTGGGCTTGTTCATCCTGATGCTGGGGGTTGTCACGAGGGCGCCGGGCATGGTTCGCAGGAGGCCTGCTGGCGTGACGGCACGCAACGTCGCCCAGCGGATCGAGACCTCCCCCGTTATGCACTTGGTCAGCTTGGAGACTCGACTTCGCGGGCAGCAGCCTCTTGTGGACGCAGGGTCAGGACCATCCGAGCAGGCGATCCTGCCCCGCCCCCTGGCGATGCCAGCCGTGCGCCCAGGCGGCTCGCGGAGGTCGCGGGTCACAACCTCGACAAGGCAGGCTGCCGCGCGCCGGTCTGCCAGCAGCGGAGGCCTCTCCTACCTCGAGGGTATCGCGGTGAGGCCTGTTCAGGTCGAGGACTACCACAGACGGATCGAGGAGTTCTGTGGGTTGGTCCGCCGCCAGGGCTTGAGCACCTGCACCCTGGGCCCCCTGGAGGCAGCGCTCCCGGACTGGGCGGGCGACGCGTTCTTGGAGGGCAGGTAGAAGCACGACGGCGAGAAGCTGAAGGCGGCTGTCCTGCACTACTACCCGAACCTCAAAAGGCCCAACACTAAGCCGCTCTCCAGGTTCGAGAGGTGCCTGCAGGCTTGGGGGCGTCGGCGGCCTGCGCCGGGCCGACTGCCACTGCCGCGTCCAACGATCCGCGGTCTGGCGGCGGGCCATCACTTCTTGAACCACACGGACATGGCGGTGGTAGTGCAAGTCGCGCTCAGCGCCTACTTGCGGCCAGGGGGGCTGCGTGGTCTCCTCGTGCGCGGCGTCGTCCCTCCCGCGCTTGGCTACGGGGCGGAGTGCCAGGAGTGGTCGCTGATCCTCGGGCCGTCGGACGGTCAGGGCGACCCGACCAAGACAGGCGTGTGCGACGACAACGTGACGATGGACCACGAGAACCTGCAGTTCCTCGGGCACTTCTTCGAGCTGTACCGCCGCAGAAAGGCCCCCGACGAGCCGCCGTGGAGCTTCGCGCAGGCGGAGCTCGGGGCCATGATCGCCAAGGCGCTCAAGGTGTGCAACCTCGAGGGCCTGGGCATCGCGCCCTACAGCCTGCGGCATGCAGGCCCTTCGTGGGGCGTCATCACGGGCAGGAGGTCGCAGCTGGAGGTGCAACGTCGCGGGCGCTGGGCCAGCATCAGCTCGCTCATCAGGTGCGAGAAGTCGAGCAAGGTGAACTCCATGTCCACGAGTACCTCAGGCCCTGCTGCGCGGACCTTGGCAGCATCCTCCTCGGCGCGGTCCCCGCGCCCCGACCGCCTGCTTGGGTCGCGGCGACATCATCCTTGACATCTTTGCCGGCTCCGAGGGGTTCGGCAAGGCGGCGGCGAGGTGTGGCATCTCGTCGCTAGAAGTGGAGAAACAGCGCGGCCTCGACCTGCTCGCGCCAGGAGTGATGGAGGCCCTGCTGAAGCTGGCGAGCTCAGGCCGTGTGAAAGGAATGTGCCTGGCGACGCCTTGCCGATCCTTCAGCATTGCAAGAAGAGCGCCTCCTGCTTCGGCTATGCCCAGTGCAGTCCGTTCTCCTGACCACAGCTGGGGCTTCTCGAATCTCTCTGATAAGGATCGGAAGGTGTGCATAGAGGGCAACCAACTCGCCAAGGCAACGTACAAACTCGTTCGGCAAGCTGTTCGATATGATGTGCCCATGCTTTGGGTCCATTCCGTTTCTGAAGCACCTCAGCAGTTCCAAGTTTGCAAAGTTTGTTGTTCTCGACCAGTGCCAGTTCGGGACTGGCCTCAGGAAGCGGACGGGCCTCCTCATGTCCTCAGATTTTGACGACTCCTTCTTGCAGCATAAATGTTGTGGAAAATCAGGCGTGTGTTCGCGTGCGGGTAAGCCCCATGAACACCTAGAGATGAAAGACAAAAGTGGCTGGAAGACTGACCGTGCTAAACATTGCCCATCCCGCCTGTGCTCCGCTATTGCGAACACCTTCAGATCCCTGTGGGCCTGAAAGCATGCGGCATGTTCAACGGCACGATCGACATCCCGGCCAGGAACGACGGCCTCTCCCTCCCGAGCCCGCCCGAGGCCAACACCTCTGTGAGATTGGGGATATTCTCTTGGGGAAGTACGGGACACATTTTCAAAGCTCTCTGTGATTTGCGGTGGCAAGCTTGCATGGAATCCGCTCTGGGATATCGTTCTATTGGCCACGGAAATCATCATGAGAGTGGTGCGTGCACAGTAATGATGACTTGGGGGCCGTTCTGAGACACGAGTATGGGGAAAGGCGGCAGTGCATAGCAGCCGCGCCCGTGCCATGCTCCATAGCCTTCTGTTGCTCCCGACCCAACCCTCCCTGGGACACAGTTTCAAAGCTCTCTGTGACTTGTGGTGGCAAGCTTGCATTGAATCGCTCTTTGTGACTTGTGGTGGCAAGCTTGCATTGAATCGCTCTGGGATGCCGTTCTATTGGCCACGGAAATCATGATGATGATGGTGGTGATTGTGGTGGTTGAGGCGGTGATGATGCTGCTGATGCTGATGGTGTTGATGTCGATGTTCCGAATGATGATACTGGTGAGGAGGCTGATGATATTGTTGATGATGTTGATGCTGATGGGTGATGATGATGGTGATGGTGATGACGATGATGATGATGGCGATGATGATCTTGTTGGTCGCGTGTGTGATGTTGGTGCGATGATATTGATGATGCTGCTCATGATTGCGTTAATGATGAGGGCGATGATGAAAAGCATGATGAGGGGGATGAGTGATGGTGATGATGATGACGATGATAATGCTGCAGATGCTGATGATGCTGATGTTGTCGATGATGATGACGATGATGATGATGCTGCTGATGATGCTGCTGTGAATGATGGTGATGATGGTGATGATGGCAACGATGATGGTGCTGATGGTGATGGCATTGTTGATGATGGCGTTGCTGATGATGATGAAGATGATGGTAATGGGGGTGATCGTGATTATACTGATGTTGGTAACGGTGATGGTGACATTGATGATGGGGACGATGATGATGAGGACGATTGCGAGTATGATGATGCTGATGCTGATGGCGATGATGCTTCTGATGCTGATGATCATGATAAGTATCAATATTCTGATGCTGGTGAGATAATGACGATGATGATAATCTTGGCGAGGAGGAGGATTCGGAATATGGGGATGAGGATGCGGAAGACGAGGATGATGATGCTGATATCGAGGATGGTGTTGTTGATGATAATGATGATTAGTCTGCTGACGAGGCTGATGCTGATGATGCTGATGCATTTGATGATGCTCACGAACATGATGATGATGCTGATACTGGTGATGATGTTTATTGTTAGGATAATTATGATGTTGCTGGCTATGATGCTGATGTGCTGGTGCTGCCGATGATGACATTGACGATTGTGAGTATGATGGGGAGGATGTTGATGATGACGAGGATGGGGAGGATGGGGATGAGGAGGAGGACGTTGATGCTGTTGATGATGATGAGGTTGCCGATGGCGCTGAGGCTGATGATGCTGATGCTGTTGATGCTGATGATGCTGATGCTGATGCTGATGATGCTGATGTTGAGCAGGGTTATGACGATGATGCTGGTGCTAGTGCTGCTAATGCTGACGGCGTTGACGATGATGATGACGATGCTGCTGATGATGATGATGTTGACGCTGATGAGGATGATCAGGAGGATGCTGATGATGGTGAGGATGAGGATCAGGTTTATGATGATGTTGTTGTTATCGTGGTGGTCATGATGATGATTGTGCTGCAGATGCGACATCTGCTGATGATGCTGATGCTGGTGATACTTATGATGGTGATAAGGGTGATGATTGTGCTAATGTTGATGAAGTTGATAATGATGATCATGAGACGGCCGATGATGCTGTGGCTGCTGATGATGATGGCCTTGGCGATCATGATGAGGATGCTGAGGAGGATGCTGATACTGGGGATGATTGTGATGTTGATGATGATACTGGTAACGGTAATGCTGGCATTGATGATGTTGATGTTGATGATGATTATGGTGATGACGATGGTCATGATGATGATGTTGACAATGATGACGATAAGATTGACGATGTTCATGATGATGGTGCGGTTGATGTTGATGATCATGATGCTGATGGTGATGCTGATGACGATGGTGATGTTGATGCGTATGATGTTGTTGATGGGGATGATTATGCTGATGTTGATGATGATGGTGATGATGATGATGCGGATGGTGATGATGATGATAATCATTATGTTGACCACGACGACGACGATGACTACGATTGTACTGTTGATGATGTTGACGATGGCAGTGCAGAGGGTGAGGAGGATAGTGATGATGATGCTGATGTTGAAGAGGATGCTCATGATGATCATGGTGATGCCGATGAATGTGACGCTGACTGTAATGATGATGCTGATGTTGACGATGATGCTGATGTTGATGATGGTGATGGTGATGGTGATGACGCTGCTGGTGATGATGATGATGATGCTGATGATGATGACGATGATTATGTCGATGCTGGGTGTGATGATGCTGATGAGGATGATGTGGACGAGGATAAGGATGGGGATGGTGACGCTGCTGATGATGATACTGATGACGAGGAGGTGGTGGAGGATAGTGGTGGTGATGCTGATGCTTTTGATGCTTCTGTCGACGATGGTGCTGCTGCTGCTGCTGCTGCTGATGATGATGATGATGATGATGATGATGATGATGATGATGCTGATGGTGACGAGGAGGAGGAGGAGGACCAGGAGGAGGAGGAGGATTGTGACAATGATGATTCTTACGATGAGATGAGGATGACTAAGGCTCACGCGATACGCCTGGTCCAGCCTACGGACACACCTGATGATGCGACAGAGGGGAGTTTTTTTTAGAATGAAGTTGGACGGATGAGGAGGAGGAGGAGACAGAGAAGGAGCAGCAGCAGAAGCAGGACGAAGAGGAGGTGGTCTCAGAATTGAGGTCTGAAGCGTTTTGGGAACTCCTTATGCTGTCTGGCTCAAGTCTCGATGCAACCGTCCTGCATACCAGACTTGTGTTAAGTTTGCATGTCAGCGGGGCGAGATTACTAAGGTTGTCCGGGGTCAAGCGGTGCCTTCAGGAGGGGGAGGAGGGAGGAGGAGGAGGAGGGAGGAGGAGGGAGGAGGGAGGATGAGGAGGAGGAGGAGGAGGAGTAGGAGGAGGGGGAGGAGGAGGAGGAGGAGCATCGAGGAGGAGGAGGAGGAGGATCATCGAGGAGGAGGAGGAGGAGGCGGAGGCGGAGGAGGAGGAGGAGGAGGAATAGGAGGAGGAGGGAGGATCGAGGAGGAGGATCGAAGAGGAGGATGGTACGGTAGGACGCCGGGAGAGCCCCGGCTCCTCGGCGGTTGCTAAGGGCGGCCCTGGCCCATCCTACGCCCATCCCCTATGCCGATCATATGCCCCCCCCTCATGCCCCCCTATGCGGATTTCCCCCCCCCCCCCCCCCCCCCCTCCCACCCATATGCCGCACATATGCCGATCCGCACCTATCGTTGCCCCTGGTCGAGCTGTTGTCCAAACCCTCCTGTGGATGGAAGTTGGGTCCTGGTTTGGAGTCCGCACTGCGCGCCTCCTCCCTCCTCCCTCCTCCTCCTCCTCCTCCTCCTCCTCCTCCTCCTCCTCCTTCGCCACCTTCCCCCACCCCCTCCTCTCTCCTTCTGCTGGCCATGCCAGCACACCCACTCAGATTTAACTCCCAGGAAATCGAATTCTAATATTGCCCTGGTCCGAAATCAGGCTTAATCCGGCTTAATCCCGTTTGGTCGGGCTGAATCCCGCTTGACTCGCGGCCTAATCCGACGTAGCCCCCCCAACGGGGCTTAATTCTCCCTAGATCTTCGGACGCATACATACTAGTTGCCTCATAACACCCATCACACACTTCTTGCCCCCGCAATGGGGCTCCTCTACGCATCCCAGATGGTGTCGGAGGATCGCGCCGCATCGCCGATGTATCGGCGATGCGGCTCGATGTGGAGCCCGATTTTCTCCACGCCGACGTCGCCGATGCCTCGCTGACTTCGCAGGTGCATCGCCAATGCATCGGCGATGCGGTGCGATCCACCGACCCCATCTCTTCCGACCCCATCTGGGAGGCCTCTAACTCTCCCCAAGGAGCAGCCCCCGCCTCCCCTGAGATCCGACGTTACGAACAAATTGAAACATCGCCACACATCAGGATCAGAACCCTGGACCCCATCTTTCTGCGTCATTTTACAAGCCGACTCCATATGTGAGGTTCCCCGGGGGCCGAAACCGAGGGAAAACGCCCGTTGCGAAAAACATGCGACGCCCGCATCTGAGGCTCCCCCCAGGAAGCAGTCCCCGCCTCCTGCCCCCCGGCGGCACCAGCCCCGCCCCCCGCTCGTGTTGACCCAAAAGGGGGTCCAGCGAAAGGGGGGTTGGTGGAGTAGATATGTTGGGTTGCAGTAGATTTGGGGCGTGCGATACACTCTGGTGCGCGAGTGCGTTGCTGGGTAATCGCGTGCAACACAAGTTTGCAAGATTCTATACCAGAGGAAAACCAAACAGTGGATGGATTGAAAATATATAGTGGGATTGATAGTGAGGACGATCGTCAGGTCGATTGTGAGACCGATAGTGAGATCGATTCAATGAGATCTAAAGGAGATCAATAGCGAGATCGATCGTGAGATCGCTCGTGCGATCTATAGTGGGATCGATTGTGAGATCGATGGCGAGATCAATTGTGAGATCGATAGTGAGATCGATTGAGAGGTGGGTAATGAGATCGATGGTGAGACCGATCGATAAGAAGATCGATCAGGAACCCAGGAACCCGGGAACCCCGCCGTCCATCAAAATCGGCCTGGAATCCGGAACCGGAACCAGGGAACCGGAACCGGGAACTTGGGAATCCGGCCGCCCACCGAAGTCGGCCCGGAGTTTTCGCCAAATCCGTCAATTTCCGCTAGGGCCCCTTGTTTCTTCTCTCTCTCTCTCTTTCTCTGGCTCCCTCTCTCTCTACATATATATATACATATATATACATATGTGTGTATACGGATTAGTCCCTATATCTTCCGGTGCATTCCGGTGCACATATATCTATATATATATATATGCATATATTAATACATATATTATATATACATATGTATACCTATACTACTACCCTTCGGGTGGTAAGGAGGTTGTGGGGGGGGAAGAGAGAGAGGGGGACCAACATCTGACTCAATCGATCTCACTCAACTGGACACCACGGGACACCACGGGACACTTGTCGATCTCACTATCGATCTCACTCAATGGGACACCACGGAACACCACGGGCCACCACGGGACACCACGGGACACCGCGGGACACCTCTCGAGCTCATTATCGGTCTCATTATCGATCTCACTCAACGGGACACCATAGGACACCACGGGACACTTCGGGACACCACATCGACTTCACTATCGATCTGACTATCGATCTGACTATCGATCTCACGCAACGAGACACCACGGGACACCAGGGACACCTGTCGATCTCACTATCGATCTCACTTTTCGGGACACCACGGGACACCTCGGGACACCACATCGATCTCACTATCGATCTCCCTATCGATATCACTATCGATCTCACTCAACGGGACACCACGGGACACCTGCCCATCTCACCATCGATCTCGCTATCGATTTCACTTTTTGGGACACCACGGGGCACTTCGGGGCACCACATCGATCTCAGTATCGATCTCCTTATCGATCTCACTATCGATCTCACTCAACGGGACACCACGGCACACCGGACAGCACGGGACACCCCGGGACCCCATGGGATACCGCGGGACACCACGCGCCACCGCCGTGGAGAGTCAGTTGTCTTGACTTCGCCTAGCAACGGCGGACACCACGAGACAACACGGGACACCGCGGGATACCGCGAGCCACCGCCAGACGGACGGACGGACGGGAGAGAATCATTTGTCTTGACTTCGCCCTAGCAACGGCGGACACCACGGGACACCACGGGACACCGCGGGACACCGCGGGACACCGCTACGCCCACCGCCGGACGGACGGACGGGACGGACGGGCGAGAATCATTTGTCTTGACCTCGCCCTAGCAACGGCGGACACCACGGGACACCGCGGGACACCGCTAGGGCCACCGCCGGACTGACGGATGGACGGGGGATAATCATTTGTCTTGACTTCGCCCTAGCAACGGCGGGTTCATTCCTCTCGCGCGCCCACGCAGCTTCGCTTCGCCCGCACGCACGACACGAAATAAACGAAACGATTTCCCGGTTAGGGGTCTCCATTCCATTGCGATCTCACCCCTCGATTTCCGATGTCTATTTTACATATACATATATGTAGATATGCACAGATACGTACTCACACGCATTTTATCTCTATGTCTCTCTCTCTCTCTCTCTCTTTCTACTCCGCCTCTTCTCATTCTTTATGTATCATCGTTGTTTGGTTATCTCTCTTTCTCTTTCTCTTTCCCTCTCTCTATACATATTATCGGAGGTTGGGGGTGATATCGCAGTGAAACGGAGACCCACCCACTGGGATATTGGTTTCGGATTCACGCTCGTGTAGCGCGTGCGGGCGAGGCGAACTTGCGTGGGCGGGCGAGAGGAATGAACTCGCCGTTGCCAGGGCGAAGCCGAACCAAACGTTGCTGTCCCCCGTGTTGGCCAGCAGTGGCCCTGTGGTGTCCCGATGGTGTCCCGTGGTGTCCAGTGGTGTCCCGTGGCGCGCGGGTGTCCCGTGCTATGTCATATGCTATGCAATGTCATGCTAGCGATAGTGAGATTGATAGTTCGGTCGATACTGTGATCCATTGAATGAGATCGAAAGTGAGATCGATCGTGAGATCGATAGTGAAATCGATAGTGAGATTGGTAGTGAGGTCGATTGAGTGAGATCGATAGTGAGATCGATACCAAGATCGATAGTGAGATCGATAGTAAGATGGATAGTGATATTGCTTGAGTGGGATCGATCGTGAAATCGATCGAGAGATCGATCGTGTGTTCGATAGTGGTATCGATTGAGTGAGACGACCGTGATCCCGATAGGGAGACTTATAGTAATATCGATAGTGAGGTCGATAGTGACATCGATGATGACATTGCTAGTGAGACCGATCGTGAGAGCGATCGTGAGATCGACCCTGCGATCGTTCGGGAGATCGATCGTGAGATCGATTGTGATAGTGTGATCGGCAGTGAGATCGATAGTGGGTTCAATAGTGATATCGAGAGTAAGGTCGGCATTGAGATCGATAGTGAGATCGATTGAATGAGATAGATGGTTCTATCTGTAATGCCATCGATAGTGAGATCGACCAGGAACCCGGGAACCCGGGACCCAGAATTTGGAACGTTGGGAACCCCGCCGCCCATTGAAGCCCGCCGCCCACCGAAATCGCCCCGGAACCAGAAACCGGGAACCCGGGAACCCGGCCGCCCACCGAAATCGGCGCGGCATTTTCGCCAAATCTTTCAATAGCCGCTAGGACCCCGTCAGTGCAGGCACTGATTGAGAGGGGGAAACAATGCAATACAATTCTCTGGCGCAGATCTACAAGGTCAGTCTACACGAGCGCCCAGGATCACCATCATCATCATCCTCATCATCATCATCATCGTCGTCGTCATCATCATCATCATAATAATCATCATCATCATCATCATCATCATCATCATCATCATCATCATCATCATCATCATCATCATCATCATCATCATATTCATCTTCATCTTCATCTTCATCTTCATCTTCATCTGCATCATCATCATAACTTATAAAACTAACATTGCATTCCACTGGAAGATCGTTGATTATCTTCGCCAGACCCCCGAATTTCTTATTCCTGAGTGATTATTGACCGGGGCGCAGGGTTACATTTGCGATACACGTGCTCCAAACCTACTGCGCCACCCCCAGCCTGGCCCCCTCTTGGGTTAAGTCGGGCCTGTCTCTCTACAGGAGGTGTTTTCTAAACTAGTCAACAAATAGCATGAGAACCATTTTTCTTTTTTTTGTCAATGCTGGAGTATTTTTTGACTATTTGTTATTCTTCCTCCAAAATCCCCCTGTAGGGGGACCGGCCCGACTTGACTCTTGGGCGAACCAAACCCGCGCCGCTGCCCGGGCCCAGCCCCGCGCCCGGCCGCGCGCGCCTCGCCCGCTCCAGGCCGTCCTGGACGAGCACAGCTGCGGCCGCGCCGCGCCGCGGGGGGCGACGTCGACGACGACGACGACGAGGACGAGGACGAGGAGGAGGAGGACGACGACGACGGCTTCGATTACGGTAACGACGGCGACGAGGTGAGTCAGTGTGGGTCGGCGTCTCGGTGGGACAGGAAGGGGAGGAGGAGGAGGAGGAGGAGGAGGAGGAGGAGGAGGAGGAGGAGGAGGAGGATTGTGCGACGAGGACGACTACGAGGACGACGACGAGGACGAGGTCGACGACGACGACGAGCAAAGGAGGAATAGGAATAGGAACCAGTGGCGAAGCCAGTGCGGATCCACCACACTACTCGGCCTCGCTGGGCCTTCTCGCCTTGCTGAGGGCTTTGGGTGTTAAATTGTAACGGGTTATTTCAAGGTGCGCTTTGCCTGCTGGGGAAAGACCGTAAATACAGTGTCTGTTCAAACAGCGCACTTGCTTGTCAGCAACCGCTCTACACCCAGGAGGAGGCGGGAGGGGGGGGGTATCTAGGGGGGAGGGTCGAGGATCAAGGGTGGATGTTCTGCTCTCTAGAGGAAGCGCAGACATGGCTTAAGGCCGCGCGGATCGGCGATGGGCCCGTCGCCGTCGCCGTCGTCATCGTCCCATAGCCGCTGCCATCGTCCCGTCGCCGCCGCCATCGTCGAGGAGAGCGAGGCAGGCGTCGGGTGTTGCTGGAAGTGCCCCTGGCCCAACGTGCCCCCAGGATCGCCAAGGAGGCCGCCGCGGCCTCTTCGGAGCACCCCTCGCGAGGTCCAGGGGCCCCGAGGGGTTCCAAGATGGGAGCGAGAAGCTGGGGGCACCTTGGGCCAGGGGCAACGTTGGGGGGGGGGGATCGGCATTGGATCGGCAGGGGGGGGGGTAAACACGGGCTCCCTCGAGGGCGCGAAGTTATTCGCGCTTCGTGCTTCGCGGTTCGGCTCCGACTCCTCTTCACCCTCCTCTTCTCCCTTGGGAGGCGGCGCGAGAGCGCGAAGTTATTCGCGCTCCGCGCAGCGCGAAGCGCGAAGCTGGGAGCCCTTGCATAGGATCGGCAGGGGGGGGGTAAATCTGGAGCCGCCGCCACCGTCCCGTCGCCGTCGCCGCCGCCGCTGTCGTCCCATCGCCGCCGCCATAACCGCCCAGGGCCGGAGCCGCAACCGAGCCTCCAATTGCTGATGCACCTGGTCGCCGTCGCCGTCGCCGCCGCCGTCGTCGTCGTCGTCGTCGTCGTCGCCGCCGTCGCCGTCGTCGTCGTCGCCGTCGCCGCCGTCGTCGTCGCCGTCGTCGCCGTCGCCGTCGTCGTCATCGGCCGGTGCGGCCTCGGGTGCGGAGGGAGGGCCGCGCGGCCCCGGCCGCTCTGCCGCCGGTGTGGGCAGGGGCGGCGGGGCCATGCCGCCGCGTGGGCGCCTCGCTCGCGTGCGGAGAACGAGGACGAGGACGAGGACGAGGACGAGGACGAGGAGGAGGAGTAGGAGGAGGAGGAGGACGAGGACAAGGAGGCGGAGGCGCAGGCGCAGGCTCAGGCGGAGGCGCAGGTGCAGGCGGAGGCGGAGGCGGTGGCGGAGGCGGAGGCGGAGGCGGAGGCAGAGGTGAAGGCGGAGGCGGGTGCGGCGGAGGAGGGAGGAGGGAGGAGGGAGGAGGGAGGAGGGAAGCGGAGGAGGAGGAGGAGGAGGAGGAGGAGGAGGAGGAGGAGGAGGAGGAGGAGGAGGGGCGAGGCCACGTCCGCCAACGTCGCCTGCTTCGGCTCCACAGGTTGGTCGTGGCGGCTGGGAGGTCGAGCTCCGCGTGCACCGCGGCGCCTCTGCCGCCCCTGGCCACCCGCAAGTGGGCCACTGCCTGCCAGGATGGGTTGCTCCTGGGCCCCCTCCTCCGTGCCGGGCCCCGTCCTCGTGAGGGGTGTGCCGGCATGCGGGCGATGCCATCGGGGCCTTCGGAGCTCCCACGAGCTCCCTGTCGGGCCACGATCCTCGTGTGGGGTGCGCCGAGATGGGGCGTGTACCGCATGTGGGCGCTGCCTCTTGGACCTTCGGTGGAGCTCCACTGAGATCCCCATGGAGCCACGATCCGGGTGTGTCCCCCATTTCGGCACATTCCTCACGAGGATCGGGGCCCCCTAGGGAGCTCCACCGAAAGCGGTACCCACAATGCAGTACTCACAGGTGAATATGGTTGGTAGATTCGCGCACGATGTGTGGTGCATGATGGTGTTGTTGCTGACGGCGATGTTGTTGGTACTGGCGATGACGATGATGATGACGTTGACAACGACGACGACGATTAACTTGATGGTGGTGATGATGTTGATTATGATGGTGATGCTGATGATGGTGATGATGCTGATGATGCTGATGCTGATGCTGATGATGCTGATGATGCTGATGATGATGGTGATGCTGCTGATGATGATGATGATGGTGATGCTGATGATGATGCTGATGATGATGATGCGCATGTGTCGCACATCTTGTTTCCATGCGGTGCTGGGTCCTCGTTTTGACTCAGCAGCGCCCCGCGTCGGCACCTCACCTCCCCCTCCCCCTCCTCTCTCTTCTTCGTCATCGCCATTATCATCCTCATCGTCATTAGCGTTACCGCCATCACTACGCATTGTTATCACCACCGTTCTCATGCTCAGCGTCATCATAATCCTCCACATCATCGCTGTCATCATCCTCAACATCTTGCACACCATCATCATCATCATCAGCATCATCATCATCATCGTCATCATCATCATCGTCATCATCATCCACATCGCCGTCTACATCTACATCTACACCTCCTGCATCTCCATCTTTATCGTTATGTCCACCTGCATCGTGGTCTTCATCTTTACTCTCACATTCATCGCAATATGTATATTCATCATCTTTATCAGCCTTACTATCACCATCATCATTTCCATCGTCGTCGCCTTCGTCATCATCATCAACATCATCGTCCTCATCGTCGTTTTCGTCGTCATCGTCTTCGTCGTCATCGCCATCGTCATCTTCATCAACAGCATCACCATGATCATCATCATCATCATCATCATCATCATCATCAGCATCATCGTCATCGTCATCGTCATCATCATCACCAAATCATCAGCATCATCATCATCATCATCACCATCACCATCATCAGTATCGTCATCATATTCAAGAGGCTTACGCCATTCCGCCGACCACCCGAAGAGGCGCGGAGTCCACGGTGGAGGTATCGTGGGTTTCTTGGGCACTATCTGAGGAGTCTCGTGGGCGTCTTGGCAGGTATTTGGGGGCCTGGTGGAGCCTCTTGGAGGCAGCTTTGAAGCGTCTTGGGGGCTGTTTGAGGGCCTCTTTTGGGCCTCTTGGGGGCCTCTTAAGGTTTTTTGTGGGCATATTTAGGGCCGCTTTGGAGCGTCTTGGGGGCGTCTTGGAGGCTTCTTAGGGCCTATTGGAGGGGCCTCGGGGGCCTCGGGGGGGCTTCAGGGGCCATCTTGGTGGGAAAGGCTAGAAATGTCAGCTCGTATTCCCTCTCTTTGGCTTTCTCGGAGCCCTCTTGGGTCCCTCCAGGGGCTGCCTTATGCCGTCTCGGGGGGCCCCCGGGGCTGTCTTTGGGCCATCATCCTCGTCACCGTCCTCTTCATCTCCATGATCATCATCACCATTATCATCATCACATTCTCCCCCTCGTACGATTGATGACCCCACAGGGAGCTTCATTGACTCTAAAGTGAGCTGGGCGTTGCATGTGAGTGGGAACGAGCGTGCATCCGCGGCTGCTTGGCTCAAAGCGGCCAGCCGCCCAGATCTGACTACACCTCAGCGCGAGGTGTACCATTTGCCATCGATACCAAAACTGCTTGAGATGGCTCGCCCCCGACTACTGGGACTATCGTTACTACGGTACAACAGAGCGGGAGCTGGGCTTCGCCTAAGGCGAAGCTGCTGGTTGGGCCTCCAAACCCCTGTTAAACTCATTGAGGCCCCAGTGGCAGTGCCCGCATGCGGTACGCGTTCCATGTCGGCGCGCCCCTCACCCGGATCGTGGCCCCATGGGGATTTTCAGGGGAGCTCCACCGAAGTCCAAGTGGCAGCGCCCACATGCGGTGCATTCCCCATCTCGGCGCACCCCACACGAGGATCGTGGCCCGACAGGGAGCTCGTGGGAGCTCCGAAGGCCCCAGTGGCATCGCCCGCATGCCGGCACACCCCTCACGAGGACGTGGCCCCATGGGGAACTCCACCGAAGGCACCAGAGGCAGCGCCCGCATGCGGCACGTGCCCCATGTCGGCACACCCCTCACGAGGATCGGGGCCCTCTAGGGAGCTCCACCGAACGCGGTACCCACAATGCAGTACACACGGGTGCGTTTGGTTGGGTCTTTTGACAGGATAGTTTGCGGTAGATTCGCGCACGATATATGGTGCATCATGATGATGTTGCTGACGACGATGTCGTCGGTACTGGCAATGACGATGACGATGACAACGACGACGACGACGATGACTAGGATGGTGATGAGGATGCTGCTGATGATGATGGTGATGATGCTGATGCTGATGATGGTGGTGATGATGCTGATGCTGATGATGATGATGATGACGACGATGGCGATGGCGACGGAGATGGTGATGGCGGTGGCGACGATGACGAGGGCGACGACACCGCCGATGAAAATGTTGACGCAGTGGTGGTGATGACGATGGTGATGGCGGCGATGATTATGATGATGGTGGCGGTGGTGTTGTGATGCAGATCCAGATTGAGATGCAGATGCTTACTATGATGCTGCCGTTGGGCATGACGTGGGCGATGCCGAGGATGATGGCGATAATGATGATGATGGCATGATGGTTATGATGATGATAATGGTTATGGCGATGATGATGATGATGATGATAATGATGATGATGATGATGATGCTGATCAGAAGGATGATGCCAGTGCTGATGCTGATGATGCCGATGGCGATGACGACGATGACGATGGTGATGCTGATGATGATGAGGAGGAGGACGAGGAGGATGACATCAGAGGAATCGGAGGACGAGGACGAGGATGAGGAGGAGGAGGAGGAGAAGGAGGAGGAGGAGGAGGAGCAGGATGAGGATGAGCATGAGCATGAGCATGAGCATGACGATGATGATGATGATGATGGTCATGAGGATGATGAGGATTATGATGATGATGATGATGATGAAGAAGAATATGATGGTGGTGATGATGATGAGGATGATGAGGATGATGCTGATGATGCTGCTGATGATGATGCTGATGATGCTGCTGATGATGCTGATGATGAGGATGGGGATGAGGATCAGGATGAGGATCATGCTGATGCCGATCCTGATGCTGCTGTCGATGCTGCGTCTGATGCTGATACTGGTGCTGAGGATGAAAATGATAATGATGTTGATGCTGCTGATGATGATGATGCTGATGATGCTGATGCTGATGCTGATGTTGATGCTGATGATACTGATGATGAATTTGCTGATGATGATGTTGATGATGATGATGCTGATGATGGTGATGATGATGTGTTAGAGTAAAGATTAGACGCGGACGCTGATTATAATGGTGATCGTGATGGTGGTGACGGTGAGCAGCAGCAGTAACAGCAGCAGGAGGAGTAGGAGGAGGAGGAGAAGCAGGAGGAGCAGGAGGAGCAGGAGGAGCAGAAGCAGGAAGGCGACCCGTCTGCGCCGCAGGCCACCGCTGCGGAGGGACCCCGCCAGTCAAGCTGGCGAAGGCGCGGGCCGGGCATCCCAAGCTATCCACCTTTGGGGTTGCCTCTTGCAGAGTGCCAGTTCTGTACGATCGAAATCGGTTCGGAAGGAGTGGGAATGAAGACGGGGAAAAGGGTACCGATACCGCTACCCTCGGCCCTCCTGGGAGGCCCTCGTCATCACCGATGGATTCGCCTCGACATTTTGGTCAGAACGCAACCCAGCAGAGGTTCTGGGAGTAGCGGTACGGGTACCTTTTGGTTTCCCCAGTCCCTGCCCGTTTTGAACAGCTTCCGCTGCCGACGTCGCCGCGGGAGCTGCCTGTCAGAGGCAGCAGGTCGCCTGCTCATCCGCGGCCGCCGACGGTTTGGTTTGCCGTCCGCGGATGCTGCTGGGCATCATGCCAGTGCTCCTCGTGCCCATTTCAGGCGTGGCACGGTGCTACACCGCTCCTCTTCCGTGGATGCCAGGAGGGAAGAGCACGCAGACACAGGTAATCGTCAACTCCTAGGGAGGTATGCGAAGACATGGGAAGTTGGGCGAAAGACGGAAACCGAGAAAATATGTGAAAGTATTGAATCTTGGGATGTGTGTCTCTTTATTCTGAGGCTTACGCCACACCGCCGACCCCTTGGGGAACTGGCGGTTGTCGCGTGTTGCTCCTGAGGGCCTCTTGTGCGCCTTTTGGGGGGGTCTTGGAGCTCTGTTGGGGCTTCATGGGGGCCTCTCGTGGGCCTTTTCGGGACCTCTTGGGCTGACATTCTCAGTATTCGCCGTGCATGCATGGGGAAACGGGCGAGAGCCCACGCATTCAGACGGCGGGCATCTGTCAAAACATAAGAATCATGAGTGTCGAGTGGCCTTCGGTACATCCCGCCACCGTGCCTGGGTTGCGGGTCTGAGGCCACTCGGATGGCTGATGTGGCCTCGTGGGAGGCGTATCGAGGGAGTCTTGGAGGCAGGTTTTTAACCTCTCGGGCCCTTTTTGGTGGCTTTTTGCTGCCATCTTGGGGCGCCCAGGGGACCTGTTGGGGGCTACTTGGGGCAACCTGGAGGCGTCTTGGGGTGGAAGACTCGAATTGTCCGTTCGGGTTCCCCCTCTGGGCCCCCTCTTGAGGTTGTCGTGGGCCCTCTGGGGAGGCCTCGTGGAGGCCACAGGGGCCTCTTGGAGGCGTCTTGGAGGCCTCTTGGGCCGTCTGGGGGCAATCTCGAGCGTCTTGGAGCGATCGTTCGGCGTCTCGTGGCCCTCTTGGACCGTCTTCGGGCCCTCTTGGGGCCCTCTTGGCCCGTCTTTGGGCCCTCTTGGGCCCGTCGTCTGGCCCTCTAAGGGTGGAAAATTTAAGCGGGGACGCGGAGCAGCCCAGGGGAACCGCGCCAAGCCCCGCCAAATTTCGGAATGTGGGGCCCGGGCTCCGAGGACTGAGGCTCCAGGGGTTAGGCAAAGCGCCTGAGGATACCACTCCGTGCCCAGAGGCACGGTGGTGGATGATGGAGGGTGGCCTCGGGTACGCGAAGATTGCGCACTTCACAAATCGTGGTGGCCACGGCAACGCGAAGACGGCGTAATGTTAATGTTTGAGGAATCTTGGCCACAGGGACCCGAACATATTTCTGTTCACGGGGGATCGAGGCCTCGGGGGCGCGAAGATGCTACGATGTGCTAGGGGTTGTGGCCTCGGGGACGCGAACGCTGCATGCTTTACCAGGGATCGTGGCCTCGGAGACGCGAGTGCGACGTAATTTGGAAGGGATCGTGGCCTCGCTCGGAGGCGCGAGTATTGTATGATGGACGAAGGATCGTCGCGTCGGAAAAGGTGAATGTCGCACAATGTGCCAAGGATCGTTGCTTCGGGGGCGCGAGCGTTAGGTATCTGTATGTGCCCTACGGCCCCGCGGGAATTTGGGCAACGTGAGTTGGGGGTGTTCAAGCGCTCGTTTGGGGCTCCCGCTCGCGCGGTCAGTAACAGGGCTGGACCTCTAAACGGTGTTTTGGCGATTTCGTGGGCCGTTTTCGTTTCGACTTCGTTTTGCGATAGAGGTGGGTTGAAGACAAAACAAAGGAAAACGAAAACAATACGAAAGCGAAAAAGACCGTTTAGGTTCAGCCCTGGTCAGTAACTAGCAGCTTGGCAGTTTGAAGTAGAAAGTAGGAATATACCGTGCGAGACTTGAAACTGGAGTTGGAGCAGGGAGCAGCAGGCCTGAGCCACGCAGCCTGATGGTCCCACAGGAGTGCCAGCGGACAACGATCTGTCTTGCACCCGGGACAATGCACTCAGGGTCTTCTGCCTCCTAGGGTGGATGTATGATTTAGCGAATTTCTTGCGCAGTGATCTCACTGCGGCCGCCCAGCACCATCATGATCGTTCTGCATTTTTGCCGGTGTTAGAAAAGATTACGTTTTATCGCCAGCAGCCGAGCAATTGGATTTCGAAGATCCGATGGATAGTTACGCGCACAACGATAAAGGGCATTGGAGCCATCCGATCGGCAAGTTCGGCTTTCCCGCGAAGGGTAGGAATGGGAGTAGAAGGGACAGGGGGATGATGAGCGGGGTAGAGGGGAGGTGGAATCAGGGGGGGAGTGCAAGCCTCGATTCGAATCCGCATCCGAGCCCGCAATGGCTCGGACAGGTCTCATCATAGCAGTGAGGCTAGTGCAATCGGGGTGTTCAGCTGGGGTGAGTGTGCGATTCTCGATGTCAAGGAGGACAAGGAAGAGGAAGAGGGGAGAAGGAAGACGTGGACGAGGACGGTGACGAGGAGAATGGAAGAAGAGTTGAAAGAGGATCGAGGACGGCGGGCGCATGCGGAGCAAAGTGGGAGGACGAGGGGCGCGGGGAAGGCGGATGAGGAGGGGGATGAGGACCAGGAGGACGTCGAGGATCCAGGATGGAGGAGGAGGAGCGTGAACGAGGAGGCGGAGGAGGAAGAGGAGGAGGCGGAGGAGGTGGAGGTGGAGGAGGGGGGTGGGAGGGCACGTCGCCTCGAGGTCTTCGGCCCCAGCGGGGGCGCGCCCTGGGTCATCGACCCGGAGAGGCGCTTGGCCATACAGCTGGCGCGCCCCGCTCCCGCCACCTCGTCCCCGGCTCCGTTGCTCGCCCCCTCTCCCTCCCCTCCCCGCCCCTCCCCCAGGCTCGGGCTCAGACTCGTCCTCCCCCCTATCCTCCCACAACCTGGCATCGCTCGGACGTGTGCATGTGTGCTCGGCGAGAACCATCGAGGACCATCCTGGACCATCGAGCAGACAAAAACACGCACGACACCGAAACATGCACGGGAGATGGACGTCCGAGCGACGGCAAGACAAGGGTTTTCCTCCTCCTCCTCCTGGTTTTCCCCCTCCGCCTCGGTGAAGTGCAGCAGGTTGCCTTTGCCATTGCGGCTCGGCCTTGCTGGGGCGGGGCGCCAGCGAAGCCTTTTCTCTGCTCCTCCTCCTCCTTCTCCTTCTCCTCATCCTGCGATCTGCTGGCAGTTCCGTGCTCAGCGCTGGTGTCCACGTCCCTTGGGTCGCCCGCGCCGCTGGCGAAAGGTAGAGCCGTTGGAGAAGAGAGAGGAGGAGACGAAAGCGAAAAGGAGAGGGAGGATGAGAAGGACAAGGGAAAATGAGGGAGGACGATTGGCGTGGCCCGACCAAAATCCGCTCGACATCGGCCCCCACACCGTCTCCCAGTGGCCGCCCCGCCCAGCTCCTCCTGCTGTATTGGCCTCCCCTCCCCACCCCCCGTGTGGCAGACGAGTTCTCCGTATCAATGTGGATGTGATGCGCATTGGCGTGCCCAAGGACTTTGGTGATCTCTCGCGTTCCTGAGCTTACTGAAGCACTGAAGCACATCCTCTTTTTCTCTGTGTGATCTCTGACAGCCCCATGCCAACCGACAGTGGTAGCAGAAACGTGGCCGAGGCCGCAGGGGAACATGAGGGTGTCGACGTCAAGCATGGCTCGAAGGGCGCCCAAGAGGAACCTCATGCTGTCACGCCGCCAACAGCCCATGCGGGTCACAGGGGGCCCGTCGTTGACCAGTTCGGCGGCACCGACCCCTGAGAACGGCTCTTTATTCCACCAAGACTGACAGCGACGGCGACAACAGCCAACAACCTCAAGGACGAACCCCCCAAGGATGACGCCGCAACTGGCGTGCGACCCTCCAAAGGTGACGTCAAGGACGACGCCGCAGCCAGCGCTCCACCCTACAGAAGTGTGTCTGGCTGGTGGTGGAGCTCAAACTGGGGACTGGGATTCTGGCTGGGGCTGGGGGGCCAAAGCGTGGGACAGTTCTGGCAGCCGTGGAGGTCAAGGCGTCACCAAGGGACCAGAGCCCCCGTCGAACAAGGATCTCTCTGCCCCGTCGCAGTGGCAGCGCGAACCCCCGTCGTGCAATGAACTTTCCGCCTGGAAGTAGTTGCTAGAAATGGAACGCCCGAAGCCTCGCGCGTCGAACGCCACGTCCTGGAAGGAGAGGGCCCCATACAGAGCTGAAGTTCAGGCGAGGCGCGCGTCAGAAACATGCCCAGTCGATCTCCAAGCAGCATAAGTCGATCAGAAGCGCTCAGGACTCAGCAAGAGGTCTTGATCAGCTCGTCTCTCACCTGGAGCTGCAAGGCGGCCACCAGCCAGGACATCGCGAGAGGGGTGCTCGGAACGAAGCGATATTCGATTACGCAATCAAGAAGGGCGTGACATCCAGCTGGTCATTGCAAACGTTTGACCCGACATACTCTGTCGGACGAGGTGAAAGCGAGGCGTTCCGAAGAGGTTCGTGGCCTGGCGGGGCATAGTCGCATCAACCATCGGGCATTCATGGGCGGCAAACGTGACTTCGCCACTGTCAGGAACGCGAGTTTCAAGTTTGACGCGACCGACGCGGGCATTTTTCCGATGGCGCTGCCGACATCCACCACCAGGCCCACGCATGTTGACAGCCCCGAGGATGAGGAGGAGGTGGCCGAGGAGGGCGGGAGGCAGCGCGCTGGTCTGTGCGAGGCAGATTTCGACAAGGATGAGGTGTATTCGGTCTTAGTTTCGCAGGTGCTCAGGACCTTTTTGCAATCGTGCATGTTTCCGCGAAGGTCGCCACCAGCATTCGTCTCGAGTCCTGGCGGAGTTCGCGGCAGATGAAGGACGGCGGGCGAGCGTGCGGCGAATATGTTCGATCGGCGTCGCGAGGGCGAGGGCGGCTGCAATGGATTGGCAAGGCTCACAAGCTGCAGACAATTGCCCCCAAGGCAAGATCAAGATGATCGAATGGCGGAGACAAGGGCCGCCGGCGAGAGGCTTGCCGAAAGTCTGTCATGGGCAACGCAGACCGATTGAAAGCCGAGCCTGATCATGGTGCAAAGGCATACTTCTACTTTTACCTGTCCCACGCTGCCGCTTACCACTCCGGGAGCTCTTGGGCGGTCGTCTTGGGCGTCTCAGAGGGCGCGAACCAGGCGGGCGCCGCCGTCTCGGACTGTCTCAGGCCCGGCCGAGAGGACGGGCTCAGTCATTTCAGGGCTTCCTGGCATCGATGAGGACAAGGCCCATTTGGACCCGGTCATTTTCATCGGCCTGGAGTTGGAGCGCGCGGACTTCGCGGCAGCCGCCTTGCAGGAAATGGGCGATCGCGCGTTGGTGGGCGTGGCAGCTGGTCAGGCTCTGATCGGTTCCCCCGACATCGACGAGCCCGCGCGTCGCGGTCCACATCAGGAACGGCGTTCCTTGGCGTTTCCGATTTGCCAGCCGCCAATGGAGTCGGAGGAAAGGCGGCGCCAGTCAGGCGAGCTCCGGCACGGGCGCCCCTTCCAGGAATGCGGGGCCGTTGGGCCCATCGCCCCGCCTCGCCCCAGTCCGCCGCTCTTGCCGACCAAGTTCCCCGATTTCCCGAACGTCGGCGCGGGCCTCGGGGCGAGCTGTTCGTCGAAGCCAGGCGGGTCGGCGGAGCTATCCCCGCGACGAGTTTCCCCACCTGGCCATCTGGCGGCGCTGTTGATCGAGAGCGTGCCGAGCCGTTTCAAGCGCCATCCGGGCGCGGCCGAGCGCCCCCACTCATCCGCGTCGGAGCCCAGCCGGTCCCGCGCCCGGGCCCCGGCCGAGGAACCAATCTTGGGCGGCCGCTGGATTGCGACGGGAGGCGCGGTTCAAGGACACGCGCGAGGTTTTTCGCGATGGGTTCTTTGACCCCGGGGAGACCGACGACGCGCCCGCCCCGATCGACGGCCGCGGCGAGAGCGCGAAGACCACCTGCCAGATCGCGGGCGCCGCCGACTTCTACGGGGCACGCCGCGAGAGGACGGCCAGCCACGAGCTCAACCGGCAGGATAAGGAGGTCCGCGGACAGTCCGAGTCCGGCAGCTGGGTCGGGCACGCGGACTTCAACTTGATCGAGGATCTTTCAGGGGGGCTCTTTCACTCTCTCTGTTTCTCTCTGTCTCTCCTTGTTTTTTTTGCTCCTCTCTCTCACTCTCTCACTCTCTCTCGCTCTCTCTCTCTCTCTCTCTCTCTCTTTTTCTCTCTCCACCCCTCCCTCTGTCTGTCTCTATCTCGCCCGCTCCATCTTCCACTCTCCGTCTCTCTCTCTCTCTCTCTCTCTATCCCTCTTTTTCCCTTCCCCCCTTTCCCAATGTCTCTTTCTCTGTCTGTCTCTCTCTTTCTCCCTCTCTCTCTCTCTCTTTCTCTCTCTCTCTGTCTCTCTCTCTCATGTATTTGTCATCTCTCTCTCTCTCTCTTTGTTGTTCTCTCGTCTTGCTTTGTTCCTCTCTTTCTCTCTCTCTCTCTCCGCCTCTCTCTCTCTTTCTCTCTCTCTCTCTATGTTTCGTTATTCTGCCTAACCCTTTTCCGCTTTTCTTTTATGCTTCTCTCAGCGTCTCTGTCTCTCCCTTTCTCTCTCTGCATATATATATATATGTATAGATTGATGCATCCCTCCTTGCTGATTGTTTTCTTCCCCCCTCTCTCTCGCTCTCTCTCTCTCTCTCTCTCTCGCTCTCTCTCTCTCTCTCTCTCCCTATCTCTGTCTCGCCCTCTTCCCCCCCCCCCTTTCTCTCCATCGATCTCTCTGTCTCTCTTTCTTCTTCTCTCTCTCTCTCTCTCCCACTCTCTCTCTCTCTCTCTTTCACTCATCTTTTTCGTCCCAACCAACCTGTGTTGTTGGGTCGTCGTTTTGAAGAGACGGTCCCCGCGTTCCTTCTACTCCTCCTCCTCGGCCCCAGCCTCCTCCTACCGTCCGCATGCGTCTCCCCCACCCAGTACAGCGTTTCGTGGCCCCACTGGGAGCTCCACCGAAGGTTCCAGGTCTTCCGTCCGCATGCGTCCCCCCCACCCAGTACAGCGTTTCGTGGCCCTCCTCCGTTTCCTCCCTGCATTCCACCCACCCCGTACAGCGTTTCGTGGCCCCATAGGGAGCTCAACGATTTCAGGTCCCAGGGCTGATCCGTACCGCATGCTGTCCCTTAACCCACCCAGTACAGCGTCTCGTGGCCCTCCTCCCCCTCCTCCCTGCGTTTCACCCACCCAGTACAGCGTTTCGTCCTTTATTTATTTATTTGTTGTTTCTCTCTCTCTCTCTCTTTCTATCTCTCTGTCTCTCGCTCCCTTCCTCTTCCGTTGTTTTGCTTGATGTTGTTCTCTCTCTCTCTCTCTCTATCATCTATCTATCTCTTTCCCTCTCGCTCTCTCTCTTTCTGCCTCTCTCCCTCTTTTTATCCGTAAGGGCCTCGCCCCCTGCCGCCGGCCCCCTCTCTCGGAGAATGGGCCATGGAAGAGCTAAGTCATGAGGCCTTGGCGCTGTCGTGAAGCAGTATCGAAACTTCATGCGAAGCCGATTCGCAATCAGCAAAACCAACTGATCACAAGAGGGTTACCACACCTGGCGATTGGTAAGACGTGTATGGTTTACGGGCTTGGTTACCACACCTTGCGATTAAAGGGCCGAGGGAGTTCTCGCAGTTTGGGTTATCACGCCTTGCGATGGATGTACGTGAAGGGTGGCACCGAATTTCAGAAATGTGGCAAATCCCCTGTGTTTTTGGACCCTGTCCCCGCGGATCTGCGTGAGGGGTGGCACCGAATTTCAGAAA